GGAGCCTGTTTCAGATTCTGTGTCTCCCTCTCTGTCTGACCCTCCCCTGCTCACACTGTCTCTCTCTCTCTCTCTCAGAAATAAATAAAAAACATTTTTAAAAAAATGCCCACTCTCAATGGGAATGTCAAACACACAGATGAAAATGTAATCATATTCATGAAGAAACACTTAATTACACATGAAAAAAGGCACCCTCATGACCAATTTGCTCTGAAGGAGAACTCACCTACAGGTGGATTAATGCAGGAATCCACATAAAGAAGAATGCATTAGTGATAGTTACTCAAGTAACTCCTTGTAATCCAGTTTTCTCCATAAGGCAGAATTCCGTGGACAGACTTGATGGGATGCCTGCATCTGATGAAAGGCGGTGGAAGAGCTGGCCCTGTGGTTGCTTCCAGTGATTACTGGTCATTGGCAGTCAGCACAGCTTCTGGGTTTCCCTAAGCTTAAAATGAGGCTTCTCTCAGTCCTGAGATGGTTTTTCTCCATCTCCTTGCTCCTACTCCATTCTTTGTTGTTCCTTCTTCATTTCTGGCTTTTACCCAAATCCTCATTTCTGTGCACAAGGACCCCTTGCTTGACTACGTGCCCACCTGAATTTTGCTCAATCTTCTCAAGTGGACCAGAGCTCTACCTATTTCCTATTCCTGAAAATTCAGCTGCTTATGTCCAGCCTCACAACTTTTGGCCAAACTTCTCAACTTTCCCATCAGAAGGTCTCTGGAGTCTGATTATTTCACGGCATCTCCACAAACGCCACTCTCATTTAAACCACCATTGTTACTCTCCTAGTAGGATTCAGAGTCTCTGAAATGGTCACTCTGTTTCCTCCCTGCCCTGTGACAATCTGAAAGATCCCTACCCTCTTACCCCCATCATTCTGTCCAGTCAGAGTGGCCTCCTCAGTATTCCTCAAACTTGCCAACAAACTCCTGTATTTGGGTCTTTGCACTCTTTGTTTCTCTGCCTGGAAGGTTTTCCCTAGAAATCCCCCTGACCAGGGGTACTGGCATGGCTCAGATAATACCTCACGACCATTTTTCATATTCCTTAGACATATTAGCAGGAATTCTATCCCTTGCCTTCTTGTATGAAATAATAACCTATCTGTATTCCCTTTCCTTGCTCATCTTTTATCATAATATGTTTCATCTTTGGACAGAGCATATTTTGTTCTTCATATCTTCTTGTAGAATGCATTCTCCATGAAGACCTTAACCTTTTTTAAATTTGTACTACTTAATCTCTCAGTGCTTAAAAAAGTACCTGGCACAAAATGGCCCAGTAATAACTAAGTGGTGAATGAAGGAAGGTATGGAAGAATAAATGCATATATAGTGTTTCTACCTCTGTCTTACTTCATTGTATTGGAAGTAATACCTCAGGCCCCTCAAACATTTAAATATTAGGGAAAATTCTATCTTACTCTCAGTGTAGTTTTCCAGGAAGAAAAATAAATACATAGAACAATTTGCTACGTACAAAGTCACCATACACCTAATAGGTAAGAGAAGTATTCCTGGGATGGTATATGTATTTATCATACACCATCTCATCCTGCTCATTGAGCAACTTAGAAAGGATGTGAATGAAGTTAGTAGTGAAGGAAATGAGACGATTGGAAACCAAAATCAGGAAAGGATGAAGTTAGTCACATAACTGCAGGCACATATTGCACATCCAGCTTGAACTGTCCCAGTTTAAAGGCAAAGAAGGAATATAGATCAGCTCAAGTTTTACAGTATCTGTGAAGTCAAAACAATACCAGGCATGTGATTTGCTAGCATTCCATAGTTGTCCTTATGAAAGACTTTTATATTGTAAATTCTTGGATTGTTTCCTGTTTTCCCTGACAAGTGGTGTGGTTCATGATGGCAACTAAGCTAACTATTTTATCCTCATTGCCTGGTACACAGTTTGATTTTAATATTTTAGAACAAAGGAATTAATGAGTGAATGAGCGAAGGTTAAATTTAGAGGATCAAGACATTTTAGGACCTGTACTGAGACGAGGTGCTTAATGAAACTGGAGTGGGTGACCCAGGATAGGTCAGCCTCAGGTTTGGGTTAATTGTGGGTATATCGACAAGTTGCAAAGACAGTAGAAATATATTGAATAAGCCTCAAATAATTGAATGGCTTTCTGCTCTGTAATGCAAGTCTGGCCAGCTCAAAGGAAGCTCTGATTCTAAAAAGCAGTATATTGATGTGCCAGATCTTAATGAAGGAGTTAAAGTTTATAAGCATTGTTCTTATTTTGGAATTTTTGGGCGCACTAACAATGTTTCAGTTGCTAAGTACTACCTATCCAGAAACAGTGGCCTTGGATTTAGGATGGGTATCTTAACTCTAATCCTGACTTTTTTCCTCAAGGCAGAGGAAGCTAGGCAGCTTCAATTTTGATTACCTTCATTTATTATTAATTTATTGATAACTTACCTTTTAGCAAGCATTTTCTAGATATTCGAGATAAAGTGAAAAATCCATACCCTGTCCTCACATAGCTCAAATTCAAATTCAAATGACATTGAAAATTTGTAACTTTTCTGTAGCTTATGGGATAATTGCTTAGGGAACTCTGCAGCCTTCTAGGTAGCTGCCAGTCAACAAAGCTGACAATTGATTGTGTTTCAACTTCAGGATGCTAACTTAAATCAGAGCCTTTCTTCTTCCCTTACAGTTGGCCTGTCACAGTCAGACTGCCTGGATTTAACCCTGAGAATCAGCCTTCTGGTGAGATGTCTTATCATTTGTAGGATCCTTTTGGACATTCTAAGCACTGTCCTATTCTAGATCATTCCCCTGCCCTCCTAGTCTGCTTTCTCTATTGCCTCAGTAGATAGTACAGTTTTCTACACTTGAAAGGCTGGATTGAATTCAGCAGAATTTAGCCTTGATACTCCTCAGGAACATGACCTTGCAAAATTATTTCATCTCTCTAATCCCCAGTCTGTAAATAGGAATGATATGCCTTTTTCTTAAAGTTTCTGTAACAAAGATGAGTCATAATTTTATCACAATGCCCGTCATAGGGGCTCCTATTTCCTTTCTCAATTCCTGTGAACAGATGTATAGCCAGTAAATTATGCCTGAAGGAAAGAAGTATAAGCCTAGAAAACTGAAAGAGTCCATTGAATTTTTAAATTGAGATGATTCCTCTGGAGAGTATGCTTAAGTAAGTTATTGAAAGCAGTAATTTGTTAGTAATATTTGGGACAGAGTGACCTTGGGAAATGTACATGGTGGAGTAGTTTTCATAATCACCCTTGGTTATTGTATTCATTTCACACTCAAGATGCAGTGACCTACATTCTATATTACAAATAAATATACAGTAACTAAGAGTCACCACTACTATTAATTGTTTTTAATTCAAATCTATCAAACTGCTATAGTACCCAGTGTAAAATATTAAGCAATTAAACATAAAACTACAGACAAAAGCTTTTCTGGAAAGAAGGAAAAAGATAATTTCTCTAGTTTTTCTTTGAATAATGCCAGTTTCTTTCTGTGTGTATTTTTGAGTAGCACTGAAGTTTGGGGTGCCATTGTACTCTTTAACTGTCGATTTGCATTTGAAATCCTCCAAAGAGTGTCATCTAAAGTGCCAATTTAGTTATATTTTTATTCAGTCAATCCCCCACACTAGCTCACACTTGCTGTTCCTGAGGCCTTTATTAAGGTTATAAAATGCTTTGACCTTCATAAAAGGCACAGTGACTTCCCTTGAGGTCCAAAGCATTAATGATGAGGTGAAATGCAAAATCATTATCTGAAGGCAGCATCTCTCCTACCACAGAAGCTATTCAAATCATCCGATTGAAAGGCAAACCTATCCAAAAGCTAATAAAGAATTCTCCCTGGCAGTTGAAATATTGGACAAATTGCTTTTCAAACTATGATAGAATGTTAACTGGGTGACAGCCAAATGATGCTGCTGGTTCACTATATTCCACCTCTGTAAGCTGGGTAATTGATAGTCTTTGGGGCTAGAGGTCACAAGTTGCTGGTGAGTTTGCAACGAGTAACTTCACTGTGGAAATGGAGCAGTGGTGAGTGTTTATTACTTGCCGTTGTTTCAGCACCAAAGGCTCTATGAGGGAAGCCATGCTTCTTTCAGAGTTGGTGTAACATTTGCATTCAGGTGTTCATGAAAACTTGTAAGTGTATTGGTGGAAAATTGAATGCTGACAACATGGAAAAATGTCACTTATGTGAAAAGCAGCTTATAAAGACAGGGTCTTACCTTTTCCCCTTCTCAAACAGAAAGCTGTGTGCACCTATGTATGAAATACTCATAGGTGATGCTGGTGACAAATATAGGTTTCCAACAAAACCAATCTGTTTATTTTATACTAGATCTGAAGGCTATATTCAAAAAAAGCCTCGAGTATTTGAGACTGGAAAGCCCACCTTGACCAGTATTTACCATAGAAACTCATTTTCTGCATGATGAAAAAAGAGTTCTTCACGAATACATCAAAATCCAAATTCCATATAGTCTTTATATTTATTATGAAGGAGGTGTTCTTGGCCTCCTATTGCATAAGATGATGATTTGATATAAGATATTAGAGATAAAGAATGTCCTTGTAAAAAGGGCTCTAAAAATCAACTAGTTCATGGGTTCCCATCTAGTTTCTGAGTCCACAGAGGATCACCAGTCTATAAAAGTAGAAATGTAGGTTGATAATCATTTTCAGTATTTCATAAAAGTTGCTAGACATCATACATTTACAGGTTGATGTAAGGATCAACTTTATTTGCTTTTGACTGGCTTGATATCAACTCAGGACATAAGTAATGCTATTATCTGTGTTCTCACTACTATTCAGAAGCTCTGGTTAGCAGTAAAGTAATTCATGAGAAGTAGATAAAATCTGAATCTTCTATTAAGCTGGCCAACTAAACTTAACCCTTGATGACTATGTAGTTCTTGATACTGTTAAAGCATTTTATCTAAACCAGGCATTAAAGCATAAGAAACAGAGCTGGTATTTGATTTGACAGCACATATACTAAAATTGGAATGATACAAAGATTAGCATAGCCCCTGAGCAAGGATGACATGCAAATTTGGGAAGAGTTCCACTGTTTTAAAAGGAAAGGCTATTCTGGGGCAACTGGGTGGTTCAGTCGGTTGAGTGTCTGACTTCGGCTCAGGTTGTGATCTCCCACAGTCCCTGAGTTCCAGCCCCACATCGGGCTCTGTTCTGGTGGTATGGAATTGCTTGAGATTATCTCTCTCTGCCCCTTCCCCACTTGGGCATGCTCTCTCTCTTTCTCTCTCTCTCAAAAATAAATACACTTTAAATTTTTTTTTAAAAAGCAAAGGATATTCTAACACACAAACTATTTTGTACTCAAATTTGCTAACTTGTAATATAGAATCTTCTATAAGCCAGTTGGACATTGGTCACTTGTAAAAATTTAAACCCTAATTATGACAGGTACATTAAAAAGTAATAATAATTAACTTCATTTGGTTTTAATTTTTAAATATTTGGAGAAGAAGTCTGTTTGGGGAGGGAATGAGGAAGAAGAGTGGGTGATCTCTTTATAAGTATAAAATAAAGGAACAGGTATTGGATACCAAAACAAAAACAAACTCTAGCCCTAGACCGAGAATCACGAAACCTAGTTTCTGGCAATGATGGTCAATATCTATGACAGTTTAAAAAAGTGATTTTATTTATCTAAGTTTCTAATTTCTAGTCATAACAGATCATCTCTAAGCCTCTTCTAGTGATGAACTTCGGTGATGAAGCTACATCTTTTGTTGCTTAATGTGCTTATTTTTCTGAAGAAAGATATTTAGGAGATCATGACCATGGAGTTATTTATACTGGGACTTTAGGCATATTGAATGTTGTAGGTCTGCTTCTAAAGGACTTAGCAATCTGTTTCCTCAATTTGGGGAAAGTATTTTTGAGGACATGAGTAAGAGCCTTCTAATAAGGAGGATTTTAAAGTAAATTTACCTTGAACCTTAGTTAGATCATCATACCCTATAAAGACTCGATAATTAAGGAAAGGCTGAGAAACAGTTGGGTAATGTCTTCTAGTGACTCACAGCAGGGAATGTTTGATTCTAGTTTCTTGGGGGAAAGAGAAGCAATGAGAATAACTCAAGAACTAGTGGTGCTTAATCCCATCTCTGTCAATATTCCCTACAGTATAATAGAGAAAACCAAAGATAAAAGAACTACATGTAAACAACACACTCAGCATTCTTGAATGTAGGATATGGCTTAACTTAAAAATAACTGTACCCAAACCAAAGGTTAAGGAAAGAGAGGGGCGCCTGGGTGGCTCAGTTGGTTAAGCATCCAGCTTGAGCTCAGGTCATGACCTCATGGTGCATGAGTTTGAGCTCCACATTGGGCTCTGTGCTGACAGCTCAGAGCCTGGAGCCTGCTTCAAATTCTGTGTCTCGCTCTCTCTCTCTTTCCTGCTTGCACTCTGTCTCTCTCAAAAATAAATAAAAATAATTGTTTTAATCGTGACAAAATTGAGACCAATGGAATTGAGACATACAAGTTATAGGGCACCTATCAGTCATATCATTAAATATGAATAATTGGAATGCCTGGGTTGCTCAGTTGGTGAAATGTCTGACTCTTAATTTCAGTTCAGGTCATAATCTCATAGTTCACGAGTTTGATCTGATGGTTATGAGCCTCCTTGGGATTCTCTCTCTCTCTCTCTCTCTCTCATTTTGTCCCTACCCCACATGCATGCTTTCTCTCTCTCAAAAAATTAATTTAAAAAATGTGAATGAAATAAATTTGCTTATTAAAAGAATGTTATGTTCACTTTGGTTTACAAAGCATTGCCAGCCATTTGCTATATACAAGGGGAACAATTAAAAGTGATTGAGAAAAGCAAACAAACAAAACAGACTGAGGTATTCTGGGCCCACAGAAACAGTAAGAAAGAAGGGATATGAACTTGGTATCAGATAAAGTAGTATTGAAGCCAAAGAAAAACAATAAAATTGTAGACAGATATGTTTTAGTGCTAAATGCCATGATTCAAAATGATAATAAGAAGTTATGACTATGAATGAACAAAAGAATATGGCAACCACATTTATGAAATAAAAACTGTAGAACATAGTTGGAAACACCATAATTGTAAGAGTCATTAGTACACCAATCTCAGGTCAAGACAGACCAGGTGGACAAACCAAAAATTAGTTAAAGGGCCAGAAGGCCTCAATAACGTGATAAAAAAATAGATCTTACCATTATATACCAAATTTTAGACTCTGATGATAGAAAATACACTTCCTTTTCAGGTGCTTATACAACGCTTATGAAGTTTCCCATATACTAGTTCACAAGGAAAACATCAAAATGTCCTATAATGCAGAAGTAAAACAAAATATACTCTCCAATTACAATGCAATAGAACTAGAAACTCTTAACAAATCAAAAAATCAAAAGGCCTTCCCATGAGGAATCTAAAAAAATTGTTCTATTGGGAATCTCTTGTGTGAAACTGAAAAATACAGATTGAGGCTACAGAATTCAATCAAATAATTAAAATACTACATGTAAGAACCTCTGGGATATGATTCAAACAGTGGTCAAAGAAAAATTCATAATATAAACCCTTCCACCAATAAAAAACCTAGCTCAAGAAACTAGAAAAAGGACAAGTCAAAGAAATATTAGGAAAGGAAGTACTATAAAAAAGCAGAAGTTAAGATAGATTATAGGAAAACGCATTTGGGTGTGTGCAAGTGTGTATGTGTGTGTTTATGTGTGTATTTTTGCAAGTTTCCTTAGGGACTGGGTGTGAGGGTGTTTCAGTGGAAAACAGTGTATTCTTTTGGATTTGAGGAAATTTTATGAAAAATACAGATATTATTAGGATATAAAGCATTTATATGTACTTTTAAATACAAATTTTTAAGAAGCCTGGCTAGAGGTTTGTAAATTTTGCTTATTTTTTCAAAAAACCAACTCTTGGTTTCATTGATCTGTTCAACTATTTCTTTGGTTTCTATATTGTTTATTTATGCTCTGATTTTTATTATTTCTCTTCTCCTACTGGGTTTGGGGTCTCTTGTTGCTCTCCTTCTAGTTCCTTTGGGTGTGCTGTTAGATTTTGTACTTGCGCTTTTTCTCATTTCTTGAAATAGGCCTGGAGTGCAATATACTTTCCTCTTAGGACTGCCGTTGCCTCATCCCATAGAGTTTGGACTGTTGTATTTTCATTTCCATTTGTTTCCATATATTTTTAAATTTCTTCTCTAATTGCCTGATTGGCCCATTCATTCTTTGGTAGGGTGTCCTTTAACCTCCATGTTTTGGAGGTTTTCCTGACTTCTTCCTGTGATTGATTTCAAGTTTCATAGCATTGTGATCTGAAAGTGTGCATGGTATGATCTCAGTTATTTTATATTTATTGAGGGCTGCTTTATGTCCCAGTATGTGATCTATCTTAGAGAATGTTGTTGGAACTGAAATTACCATACAGCAGTCCAGGTCTCCCTAAAGCATTTAGAATAAAGTGATACCACAAAGAGACTGATAATTCAGCAGGTATCTACACACACACACACACACACACACACACACACACACACACACACACAAGTATTTTTTCTGTAGTTCATTATTTTACAACTTGAAATTGGGAAAATAAGAGATTTTCATTATATAAACTCACAGTTCCTTATATTGAAATGGCAAGAGGAGATTAAAACTGTAAAAAGCCCAAGCAGAGTTGTTTTGTTCATCTCTGTAACTGGTCATATGGATAAGAGAAGCTTTAATGTGCAATATCTGTCCTAGCCCATGTGGTGACAATAGGAAGACAATGGGCATTACTCTTGAGCAAATGAGAGAGATAATCAGTGCTGCATTTCTTCAGTTATGTTTGTGTTTTAGAATTATATTCTTCTAGCTTTCTTAATGCACACTGTTATTGCAGTTATTTTGAGGGGGAAAAACTCTTCAATATATTGAGTCTGAAACCCTACCTCACTCCCCCTTTTCCATGAAGCACTCCCATGAAATGCTTTATTATCAAAAACAATTGCATTGTAGCAGAGCAAACATTGTGATGCCATGAGCTGGAGAAAGGATACCTTATCTTATAGAGTATTGCTACAACCTGAGGCTAAGAACAGTTGTTCTGAGGGTGGAGATTTTATCTTACACATGAGGGCCCAGTGTATTCCAGGCTTTCAGAATATCTATTGACTAAATATTCTGAAGAGTGAACAATTGTTTATTTTTAACAATTTCTGTGCAGATACAGTATTCCCTTCTTTAGACATATTACAAGTGGTCAGTTCCTTTTGTTGTTAATATCTCCATAAAATTTCATCCCTCAAGAACAAAAGAATATGCTAGTTCTACAAGACGAGGCCTAAATTATATTTTCCTAGCCAGAAAAATAGTTTAATTACTTTATAAACTTTTCTCATTTAAAACAAATTTGTCCTGTGTCTTTGATGATTACTATAAATTGCAGCCATACTTTTTCCAATATATTCTACTACTATTTGGTTTCTCAGAAGATTTAAAGGGTGCCAATTTCCTGTACAATTTATCAGACAATATTCAGCAGTGCCATTTAGAGCACACTTACAAAAATGCAACTTACAAAAGATTTATCACATTGCTTGTATTTTAGCATGTTTCTAAGACCAGTAACCTAGTTTCTCCTTGCCTGATTTTGACAAGAGTAAGCTTAATATTAAATATTAACTCTCCTCCCTGTAAAAAGGCAGAGATATTATTTATTCAAGATACATTTGTTATAAAATTATTTAGAGATTTTCATACTCTACTGCAATGCCTATATAAGGATAATTCCTCCTTATTTGATTTGATTGTCTTTCCCTGCAAATTTTATTTAGTAGCCTTGTCACCTACCCCTGCCTGCGTGCACATGTACACACACACATGCACACATAGCAACAGCCCTTCAAATATATACATATATATATATGTATATATATGTAGACTTTTTGGTTCTGAACTCTCATGAATATACCTGCTGATAGATCTCTCCTATTTTCTCTATTTGGCTGAGGAAGTTGATTACATTGGACCATTTCTTTTACTTATATTCTATCTC